AAAATCATGGAAAAATTATGCTCTGCGGTTGTTGAATACATATATGTGTCTCTTGGGCAGGATAGAACATCATATTTGTTCCTTTTTTTGCCTTCACTGTTGCTTATGCTAAGGTCAACTATTTGGGATGGGTGTCTACCTGCATTGCCAGTTCAACTTTACCAGGTTTTATAAACTTTCTTCCTGAACTTTATACTTTTTTTGTTCAGATTTTATATGATTGAAGTCAATTTCTTCATCTAGGCATGGTTGCTGTTTCTCTACACTGGTCTGGCTTTGAGAGAAAATATCTTGCGAGTCAATGGAAGTGATATCCGTCCATGGTAATTGAATATGTCTCAGATGATGCTTATTTCGTTAATATTTTCCTCTTTTTTCTATGTCAATGATTAAAGCTGCACTGCCCATTTGGCATTTTGGATATATATTTCTTCCCGGTCTATTTTTGTATCTTTAAGAATTTGTGAATTGAAATTTCAAGATTTAAGATCAACAAATCTGCAGTCACTCGTTGCGGATTATAGGTGAAATTACTAGCTCTATTCTTGAAGAAATCTAGTTGGCTTACATGAGGAATCTTCCAATTTGTTGCATTTTTACTGGAAGACTTTCCGATATAATGAGCTCTGGGATCTAGATAACTGTGAGCAGTGAGATAAACTTGAGCCAAAATCATGCATTCATGCTTATGAAACATATCATGAGCCGTGAAACTAGTTGTCCTATCCTCTACCAGGCCATAGTGCAGGTCTTTATAAGGGGTGTGACTTGGCTGCAATTTGCAACTTTTAGGCACAAGGCCGATAAAGCTTGACAATTGAAATAGCTGTCTATTGAGTGTTACTTTTGTGTATTTTGTTGATATCTGAAGAAGAATCTACTTAGCTTTTACTAAAGAGTAGGAACATATCTTGTTCTTCTCTAGTATTGTGTGGATTAATATTCAGAGACAACGCGTTGATTGGAAAGGTTTTGGTAGATGTGCAATATTTTAATTTTATTTTTAGAGTTGTTGCTTGACAGTGGAATGTAGAATTGTTATGTGATTAACATACAAGAAAACAAAATAATTTCTAAGAGATGTTTTCTAATGTAGCATATGACATCTTTGGTCAAAATTTATATAGGCGGTGTGATAAAATGATAATTATTTTGAATTCATAAAGCTATGCACTTTTTGTTGATATAGGGCGCAATTGGATTTGAATCCAAGTCAATTCAGTTCTGTTCAATTTATTTTATTTTTTAATGAATAATAGTTATTTGTGATGTGATGGGGTAAATAAAATACTAATTGGTAGTTATAAATATGTGAGTTGATGAGTTCATTGAGTTAGTTTGTTCTCATATTTTCAGCTTTGTGAGTTGGCTAGTTTTAGTCTTACAGTTAGGCAGATTAAAAGCGTTTTTTTATGTTTTTCTCTTCTTTAAGTATAAATAGCGTTTTTTCTTCTTTTGTGACCGTTGTAATATTTTGCCGCTGAATGAAAATCTCAGGAGTTTTCTCCCCAAAATTTTCTTCTTCTTCTTCATTGCACAGTTTCTTCAGAGTTGTAAATTTTATACATGATGTGTAGTAACAACTGATTTTTAATTGAAATGTTATATTGGAAAATGTGAGTAGAGGAAAGAGAATAAAGTGAAATGGATTGATGGAATAGAATTGGATTGGATTGGATTTTATTAAATATCTAAAATATGCGTAACCATACACAAACACACCTAGAATGATGAGGAAATGTGAATATTTGGGCTTTGGACGGAGATATTTTCCTAAATATTTGGTTCCAATTCTAAAAGTGCCATTGCTTGCATTAGATGTTATGCCTTGCCACCTATTGATATAAGAATTTCGGAATTAAAGAGTTTGGTGCATCAACAGTTGAGTCAGCTTTCAAGTTTTCTTTTTTGTAGCCATCATTTTCTGATTAGTTTTTTTATTCTTAGAATTATGATGTAGTCAGCTGTTGCGGATGAGTTTAATTAATTCATGATATTACCTATGCAGGTGGATTAAGCATCATTATTGTGCTATGGGTATGGCTGTTATTAGTCTTACTTGGGAGATAAAGAGAGGACCTGATTGCGCTCAGAAACAGGTATTTGTTCAGCTTCAACCTTCCCCCCTCTCCCAAACCCTCACCCCACACGCACGCACAAATAATAATAATAATAATATATATATATATATATATATATATATATGAACAGGAAAATGTGGAACGGACATCAACTTATAAAAAATATTGTCGTGGATACATTGCAAGCATGTTGTCATGGATACGCTGCTTACTTCCCCAGTATTTTTTCTCCTACTTCTAGTCTTATGAGTCAATATATTGCAGAGAGGTGTGGAGCTATTTCTCAAATGGGCAATCATGCAAGGAGTTGCAATGATTCTTCAGAATAGGTATCAGCGGCAAAGACTTTATACTCGTATTGCTCTTGGCAAGGTAGAGTACATTAGCTTTCTATTTAGAATTAGTAGGATCCTGTATCAGTCAATTATTTATCTCTTCCAATATTCTTTCGGAAGCCATGTTACATAAATCATTTCCTGTTAAACTTGTTTCATAATTACATCAGTTTACATATTGGTAAGATTCTCAGTTACTTTAAGATAATTTGATCAATTAACCTTTTATATGTTCTGCATATGACGTGTGGAGAAACTGAAGCATTTTCTTGTTTTGTTCCCTTATTCCTAAATTTGTCTCAATTTCTTTATGTGCTGTACTTTAAGCCCCAGAAAAAGGTCACATTTTTTTCCATCTTATGGTTAGACTTGAAGCTGTTTTGGTATTTATTTCTAGTGGAAAATTTCTGTCATGAGAAAATAGTATCCTTTTGTGGAATGAGGCACAGAGTTTATCAATATTCAGTTAAAAATTTTTTACAACTTTTTAATCATAGGCAAGGAGAATGGATGTTGTTTGGGGAGAAACTGCTGCAGTCGAGGGGCAACTGCTTCTGTTGTGCCCTATACTTTTCATTTTGCAGGTATTTTACTAGCCACTTCACTGTATCTCATGATAGCCGCATTCTTGTTTGATCTTATGAACAGATATACTTATTAAATATTTTATTCATCCTTGAGTTGCATGTTTTATGGTGAAGTGTTGTAAATTTGGTAAACACCGCCTTTCTCAATTTTCAGGGTTTTGAGGCCTATGTTGGGGTCTTGCTGCTTAAAACTGCATTTGCTGGATTCAGTTTAGACTGGCAGGTAGAGTAATGATCCGAGAGGAAAAAATGTTTCCTTGTTTAGGTTATAAATTATGATATCCCCTTTAAGAGAAATCCGTCTTCAAATACCACTTCTTTTGAAAGTGCATTTCTGAAATAGAGAGGATATATATGTGTATATACGCACCTTATTGCGCACTATACAGGGAATTTGTACTTCTAAAATATGAACTAATTATTTTGTAATTTTCCCTAATGAAACTCAATGGTCTGTTTGTAATCAAACATTTTCTCAGTTAATAGTGATTTATATAAATGGTAAGAAGTGTACCTATTTCAGGTAATCACCTGTGGGATTCTTCTCATAATCATGGCCGTTGGTAACTTTGCTAACACTGTGCAAACTCTCGTCACAAAGTCTAGGGTCAAGGCCAAAATAAAGAGAGGCAAAAGCAGGCAAGAGTTGTCCAGTGACAAGACACTGTGATTAAGGATATTGTTTCGTGGTTTATTTGAGGCTGTAATAAAGGGACATGCCGGTACTATTATAGCTCTCTTTTGTTACACCGTTTTAGCTTTTTTCTTACAATAATCTCGATTTTTAGGAGTTTTTGAGTCCTATGTTTAGTTGTTTTACCTCTGTACCAAAATGTTAATTATATGTTTTTGCACATTTTCTTGTTTTGATTTTAGTTAGAGTTAAGCTTGGTCTTTTCTTTGTATCCATTTATATCAAGGTAAAACACTTTTCCAGACCAATAATTGAGGATGTTTGAAAAGGCAGGGTTCAGGAATTGTATTAAAGGCTTGATGGTCACTTAGAAGTTTGCTGAGCTGAATCTTGTAACTTGATTGTTTGGGGACACTT